CCCCCACCCACCTATACAAAGTCTCCTCCCTATATCCTGTTGCCACCAAGCCGCAGGGACGAGTCAAGGATCCTGGACCTTGACCGAGGAGCAAATCAAACAAGGTGGCACCAGAAGAGAGTCAAAAGGGTCAAACTTTATGACTCTCGGATCGGAAAGTCACGGAAAAAGTGGGTGAGTGTCAAGCTACGGACGTTAAAGAAGCGTTTAACGGGAGGCAACCCGTCATTCAAATAACTAAAATATTTAAATAAATTCAATAATTTTATTTGTTATTTTTGAGTTTCTACTTGCCGCACTAGTTTTGGGGGCAAGATTTTATGTGTTTGCTTATGTGTGTGCAGATGCCTCATCGTCCTTCATACCCTACTATGGACCGTAATGAGGTCCAATTGATTGATGCTGTTTCTAGGACGAGGTTCGATGAGTGGGGACACTCACGGGTGTTACACAAGTCTGTGTGTCTGGCTCAAGACACGCTGACAGACTATGGCTATGCAGACGAGATGGCGGAGCTGCTTGAGGGGAGCAGATGGCAGCGCCTGCTTCAGTTGAGGGCAGAGTCTAGCCTACCACTGACCATCGAGTTCTTATGCTCGATATCTACTATCCCGGAGATTGAGTCACGTCAGATGACTCATACCTTGATCACTGCTGATACTACATTTGCCTTCACTCTTGCGGGCCAGTCATTTCAGTTGACAGTGAGAGAGATGGCTGTTCGTCTCGGGCTCTACACCTAGGAGGAGACCGAGCAGCCCGAGTTCTACGACGATCCCTTTTGTCTTCCCGCAGATTTTTGATGCTATAGCTTTCTGGAGGGAGCACTCATCAGACGACAAGGAGTTCGTGAACAAGAAGAGTAAGGCGCGCTACTGGATTCGGCCCAGCTGGAGGATCCTATCTTTTGTTCTTTCGACATCCTTCTTTGGGAGGCCGTCGAACACTGATAGGGTCTACGAGGAGGATATGTTTGTCTTCTGGAGCTTGCACGACCACTAGCCAGCGAACGTGGCGGTGTACCTGGCCAGATTCTTATACTCCCAGTCCTATGGGTGTAGGACGCACTTGGTGTGTGGGTTCGTGATTACACTGCTCTTTCGCTCCCTCAAGGGGAATGCACCGATCCCACGGCCTAAGCAGTTGATGAGGGATTTAGATGCCGGCATGCTCCGGAATGCTCACATCCACGGGAGACTCTTTCCTAGCTCTTCTGAGAGCACTACAGCCTCTAGTGGCCGCACTTCACATGAGATTGGAGAGTCCTCCGATCACTCACAGAGATCGTCTCAGCGCCTTCCTCGTCGACGACCTACCAGAGCACAGTTGGCTCGCGCTCAGACAGAGGTAGCACCTGCATGGGCCCAGCAGCTCTTGCAGAACCAGAACTCACTTATGCAGTCCGTTGCGGTTTCGAAAACCCGGCAAACCTCCCTCCGCATCAGCAGCAGCCCAGAGACGATGATCCCTCCACCTCCCGGCCTCCGCAGTGATCTCCTACTTTCTCCAGAACTTTTTATCTTATTTGAGCTGGAATTGATGACTTGACTGGTTTATTTGGATTCCTGTTTGACTTCTTCTGGTAAACTCTTATGGTTATGCTTATTTACTATTTCAATCATCATTTTGAATATGTTACATATGCAATCATCTTAATCATCATATCCTTGATATTTCAGCAAAAAATTCTACTCTGAAACATTTTTTTTGCCGCAAGGGCGCTGTTCGGTTCAAGTGTGAGGAGGATGTGAATTATTGGTTGAAATATTCCGGGTTAGAATTGTTTGTTTTGCATATTTGTGGGTAAAGATTTTATAAGTATGGTCATCAACTCTTTTGTTTAAATAATTAAATTTTTAGTTATCACCCATAAAAACTGGGAATTCTTAAATTTTTTGTCAACTTTTATTCCTTTCCCTAATTTTTTTTCAAACAATTTCTAAAATCATTTGGGATACATTAGTATTTTGTAAGTTTTTTTTAAGATCAATCAATTTTTAAATAGTTTCTTTAAAAATGTCATTTCTCATAAAGGTTTCTTCTAAATATAAGGGTCTATATAAAAAATTCTAATGGTTTAAATTTTATTGGGATTGCGCTTAAGTGACGAATTGGAAATTCTATCTCCGTAAAGGGGCTCTGCTTCTCTCGCTAATCGCATAATGTGAAGGAGCAAGTATGCATTTGTCATAGAATATATCCACAATCTCAATAATAAAATATGCCTTGGTGATTCCGAGATTTTTCTCGTGATAAATAATGCTTAATAAAATAAATAGGCCCTTATTGTTTGACAAAAACCTTTTTGGAAATCCATTTTTATTAGAGCTTTTAAACGCTTTTTGATTTAAAAAAAATCCTTAGAAATATGATTATCCTAATGAAATTTTAGAGTTTAGTTTGATTTAATTGGGTAAAAATATTAGTTTGAAAAAATATTTTCAAATTTCTACCAATATGGGTGAGAATCTCTAAATTTATTTGTTCACATAAAAACGTTGATGACCATCTTATCCTTCCTTTCCTTCAAATTGTGTAATTTAAACTTTTCTTCTGTGATTACTAATTTGTTTTCATACTAAACTTATTCAATTTGTTGCTTGATGGCAAGCAACGTTTAAGTGTGAGAAATTTGATAAGTTCATTTTGTTCTTATTTTATTCCACATATTTTAAGCGTTATTGCACGAAAATAGTAATAAATTTACCCATTAAAAGTGTCTACTAGCGACAAAACTGATGTTTTGTCTCAAGAAGAATAAAATATAGGTTCTAAATTAAATTAAGTGGATTTGTCAATTTTATGTACAAATTGGATAAAAAGTTTTAGATTTTAAAGATCATAATACTTTGGAGGTAGAAATCAGTGTCTGGGACCCAATTGGGCCGATACGGAACAACTTTGGGCCCAAAATCAAGAGAAATCGCAATTGGAAGCAAAATGGGCTTTGGATTCGGGTCTTGGGCGTCCAAGGTTGGACGCCCGAAGAGGTTGGACGCCCAAGCTACCTGGTGACACGGCTTTGCCACGCGGCACAATACGACTGGACGAAACACGTGGTTGGTGGACGGGCGTCCAAAGTTGGACGCCCAGGGAGTTGGACGCCTGTACTTCTTGCCCTATAAAAGCAGCGCGATCTCCACCATTCCAATCACCATCTCACAACCCATTTCGGGTTTCCCCTTCAAATTGCTCAATATTTCATTGCAGATTTTGATGTTATAGCTTTCTCGAGGGAGCACTCATCTGACGAGAAGGAGTTCGTGAACAAGAAGAGTAAGGCGCGCTACTGGATTCGGCCCAGCTGGAGGATCCTATCTTTTGTTCTTTCGACATCCTTCTTTGGGAGGCCGTCGAACACTGATAGGGTCTACGAGGAGGATATGTTTGTCTTCTGGAGCTTGCACGACCACTAGCCGGCGAACGTGGCGGTGTACCTGGCCAGATTCTTATACTCCCAGTCCTATGGGTGTAGGACGCACTTGGTGTGTGGGTTCGTGATTACACTGCTCTTTCGCTCCCTCAAGGGGAATGCACCGATCCCACGGCCTGAGCAGTTGATGAGGGATTTAGATGCCGACATGCTCCGGAATGCTCACATCCACCAGAGACTCTTTCCTAGCTCTTCTGAGAGCACTACAGCCTCTACTGGCCGCACTTCACATGAGATTGGAGAGTCCTCCGATCACTCACAGAGATCGTCTCAGCGCCTTCCTCGTCGACAACCTACCAGAGCACAGTTGGCTCGCGCTCAGACAGAGGTAGCACCGGCATGGGCCCAGCAGCTCTTGCAGAACCAGAACACACTTATGCAGTTCGTTGCGGTTTCGAGAACCCGGCAAACCTCCCTCCGCATCAGCAGCAGCCTAGAGACGATGATCCCTCCACCTCCCGGCCTCCGCAGTGATCTCCTACTTTCTCCAGAACTTTTTATCTTATTTGAGCTGGAATTGATGACTTGACTGGTTTATTTGGATTCCTGTTTGACTTCTTCTGGTAAACTCTTATGGTTATGCTTATTTACAATTTCAATCATCATTTTGAATATGTTACATATGCAATCATCTTAATCATCATATCCTTGATATTTCAGCCAAAAATTCTACTCTGAAACACTTTTTTTGCCGCAAGGGCGCGGTTCGGTTCATGTGTGAGGAGGATGTGAATTATTGGTTGAAATATTCCGGGTTAGAATTGTTTGTTTTGCATATTTGTGGGCAAAGACTTTATAAGTATGGTCATCAACTCTTTTGTTTAAATAATTAAATTTTTAGTTATCACCCATAAAAACTGAGAATTCTTAAATTTTTTGTCAACTTTTATTCCTTTCCCTAATTTTTTTTCAAACAATTTCTAAAATCATTTGGGATACATTAGTATTTTCTAAGTTTTTTTTTAAGATCAATCAATTTTTAAATAGCTTCTTTAAAAAAAATCATTTCTCATAAAGGTTTCTTCTAAATATAAGGGTCTATATAAAAAATTCTAATGGTTTAAATTTTATTGGGATTGCGCTTAAGTGACGAATTGGAAATTCTATCTCCGTAAAGGGGCTCTGCTTCTCTCGCTAATCGCATAATGTGAAGGAGCAAGTTTGCATTTGTCAAAGAATAAATCCACAATCTCAATAATAAAATATGCCTTGGTGATTCCGAGATTTTTCTCGTGATAAATAATGCTTAATAAAATAAATAGGCCCTTATTGTTTGACAAAAACCTTTTTGGAAATCCATTTTTATTAGAGCTTTTAAACGCTTTTTGATTTAAAAAAAATTCCTTCGAAATATGATTATCCCAATGAAATTTTAGAGTTTAGTTTGATTTAATTGGGTAAAAATATTAGTTTGACAAAATATTTTCAAATTTCTACCAATATGGGTGAGAATCTCTAAATTTATTTGTTCACATAAAAACGTTGATGACCATCTTATCCTTCCTTTCCTTCAAATTGTGTAATTTAAACTTTTCTTCTGTGATTACTAATTTGTTTTCATACTAAACTTATTCAATTTGTTGCGTGAGGGCAAGCAACGTTTAAGTGTGAGAAATTTGATAAGTTCATTTTGCTCTTATTTTATTCCACATATTTTAAGCGTTATTGCACGAAAATAGTAATAAATTTACCCATTAAAAGTGTCTACTAGCGACGAAACTGATGTTTTGTCTCAAGAAGAATAAAATACAGGTTCTAAATTAAATTAAGTGGATTTGTCAATTTTATGTACAAATTGGATAAAAAGTTTTAGATTTTAAAGATCAGAATACTTTGGAGGTAGAAATCAGTGGCTGGGACCCAATTGGGCCGATACGGAACAACGTTGGGCCCAAAATCAAGAGAAATCGCAATTGGAAGCAAAATGGGCTCTGGATTCGGGTCTTGGGCGTCCAAGGTTGGACGCCCGAAGAGGTTGGACGCCCAAGCTACCTGGTGACACGGCTTTACCACGCGGCACAATGCGACTGGACGGAACACGTGTTTGGTGGACGGGCATCCAAAGTTGGACGCCCAGGGAGTTGGACCCCTGTACTTCGTGCCCTTTAAAAGTAGCGCGATCTCCACCATTCCATTCACCATCTTACCACCCATTTCGGGTTTCCCCTTCAAATTGCTCAATATTTCATTGTAGATTAGTTTAGTTATTATTTTTAAGTAATTTTCGGAGGATTTTACATTAGGAAACTTCCTAGCAACATCCTTCTCCAAAGCATGGGGTAATCTTTCTTCATTCTTGTCTCCTTGGTGGACTAAAAATCAGGGATGGGGCTGGGGTTTGTGGGGTTTTTGTGTTTTGGTTCCTTGTGGTTGTTTCCTGGTTTTTTTGTGGCTATTATTTAGGTAAAAATGGGGGTTGTTTTTGGCTAATAAAAGGGGGCAGGGATGGGGGATATAATGTGTGGTTTTGGACTTATAAGTTTGGGTTATTTGCAAAGGAACATGAGCAGGATATATGGCTGGTTGTGGGTCATGGTTTTAGGCTCTTTGTTGATGTTGTGTTGGGATGGTGAGGGATATTTGGCCAGGAATTTAGAGGAAGGGAGAGAAGGTTTTATTTGTTTATTAAAAGGCTTTAAAAGAAGGAAAATAACAACAAACAAAAGGTTTTGGTTTACACACTCTTATTTTTGGACAGGGGCTAAAATAAGAGTAATAAAAACTTTGTTTTGAAATGAAATAAATGGAAAGGGGATTTGGATATTTAGGGTTGGGTTGGACGGAGTGGGAGTCGGCTTGTGGAACCCTTTGGCCCAAAGTTATTCTGGCCGCTCGAGTTGAAGACTCGGAATTCGCACTAAAATGGATCATAATGTTTGAACGTGCATCCTTTGGTCTTTGCAAGGGTGTGGGACATGGGGAGGGTATGATAGGGCCAGGCCCAGATATAACAGGATGGGGACTGATTTTAAGGACAAATGGGGGCATATTTTCGTGACTTTGAAGTAGGAAGGGATGGCGAAGGTTCTTATTTGATGAAAGGAATATTTAGGGAATAAAACAACACTCACATTATTTTGGGTTGTACTTTTCCTTTCAATTTTGGCCAGGGCTTCAAAGGAGAGGAAAAGGGCTTTATTTGAGTAGTAAAAATACTTTGGATATGTGGGAGTGGGTTGGGCTTGTAGGCATTTCGGCCTAGGCTGGGTTTTGGGAGAGATAGGTCATGGTTTGGGTTTTGGTGTGGGATGGATCAATGAGTTCAACCCAAAATGGATCATAACACCTAGACATTAAACACTTGATTTCTTTTAATACTAGTGGCGTGTGTGAAGGTGTACCCCGGGGTATATCATAACCGTCTTTGAGGAGGTAATCTCCATAAGGTCGAACTAGGCATTGTGCGTACGCCTCCATTAAATCTTCGTCTTCCTTATAAAGCTCCTGCAAACAATCAAAACCAAGAAGTTTGGTACTAAGTACCGTTAGTAATAAATGCCTCCGCGACAATGCATCGGCGCCTTTGTTGAGGGTCCCATTCTTGTGTTTGATGGTAAAGGTGAACGTTTGAAGATATTCAACCCATTTGGCATGGCGGGATCGAAGCTTATGTTGCCCTTGTATGTACTTCAATGCCTCGTGATCGGAGTGAAGAATGAACTTCTTGCTCACGAGATAGTGCCTCCAGTGCTCCAAGGATCTCACCAAGGCGTAAAACTCCTTGTCATAAGTAGAATATCTTCTCCTCGTCTCATTCAGCTTCTCACTAAAGTATGAGATCGGGTGGCCTTCTTGGGTGAGAACCGCTCCAATACCTACGCCCGAGGCATCACACTCAACTTCGAACAGCTTCTTGAAGCTAGGGAGGGCTAACACGGGAGCTTGTGTTAGTCGTTCCTTGATAGTTTCAAAGGCTTGTTGGGCCTTCGAATTCCACTCAAACTTTTGGTGCTTCGTCAAGTCGGTGATAGGTGCGGTTATGGTACTGAAATCCTTTACAAATCGGCGGTAGAATGATGCTAGCCCATGAAAGCTTCGAACTTGTTGCATGGATGTGGGAATGGGCCAATCCTGAATGGCCTGAGTTTTCCTCTCATCCACTCGAATTCCTTCTCCTGAAGCATAGTATCCCAGAAACTCTGTTTCATTACGGAAAAACTGACTTTTCTCCAAGTTTCCATACAACTTTTCTTCATCCAACCACTTAATCACCAAGGTAAGGTGATTCATATGCTCTTCTTCGCTCTTACTGTAGATCAAGATGTCGTCAAAGTAGACAACGACAAAATGACCAAGAAAAGGCTTCAGGACTTGATTCATCAATCTCATGAAGGTACTTGGTGCATTTGTAAGGCCGAATGGCATAACTAGCCATTCATATAGTCCGAATTTCGTTTTGAAAGCTGTCTTCCATTCATCTCCTTCGAAGATTCGGATTTGATGATATCCGCTTTGAAGATCTATTTTCGAAAAGATCTTGGAACCATGGAGCTCATCTAACATGTCTTCAAGCCTAGGTATGGGATACCTATATGTTAGGCCCAAGCTCAGGTTTTTATAGGCACAATCTTGTTAATGGCAGGGAAGGGGAAATAATCGATTGCCCAAAGTGGATAATCGACTATTAAGGGCTTGTTAGGCTCTTTTATAGTCTTTAAATTCCCTTACATTTACTAATTTTAGGGTCACCATTAGTGAGAATTAGGTTTAATTTAAGATCAAGAAAGAACGTTGACCATCTTAGAGGTTGGAGTGCAATTCTTGTGTTATTTTAGGTCCATTGGGTTAAATGTTAGAATTGTGCTAGACGACCCGAAGTGAAACTAACCATCCCGGCCCATTAGTTTAGTACAAGATGTAGGGCGTTGAAAAAAGAGACCAGACGCGAGAGAGGAGAAAGGAATGAGAGAGAGAGAGAGAAGGTGAGATCGAAGATTCACCGGGAGAAAAATTCCGGCGACCAGGCATAATCCGGCGAGTTAGACCTCGCGATCATCATCATCCGTCGCACAATCACCAAGCACTCCTCCTGATCGAGCACTGTAACCGAACGGAGGAGTCATCACGTTCGTAGGATTTGATCCTCGAACGCTGTCCAGAGGAAATTCGTTGCTTTTGTTTCCAAATTCGAGATACATTCTTAATGTTTGAGCAGTGTTCGAAATGTTGATTCATGACTGAATGTGTAATTTCGTGTTATTCTAATATGAGTTCTATTTTCTTATTTGGACAATACTTTCCTGTGATCATGTGTTTAAATTGTGAATCGATTATCACGATCATGTCCCGAGAGTAATCCCTCTCTTGTCTGGTGGAAATTTAGGATCAGTTCTCAGGCATTTGTGATCATTGCAATGATTCGAGGTTTAGACAATTGTTGAAGGTTATTTAATCCTATTTTGTGCTCAGCTTTTCAAATCTGTTGATTGTAGGTCTCATGCCTCAATTATTTAGTCTGAAATTCTTATTTGGGGTCCAACAACTAGCATATTGTGTAGTTTGCTGTCCAAGTACATTTTATGTTCAAAAGGTTTTATAACTGAATTCATGCTTATGTTAATTTGCATCAGGCTCATCCTAAGGTCATTAATGTAGGTACAGGTCCTTAGGCAGTGCTCATCTCTCTTAAGGGCTGATTTTTGAGGTGGAGATTTAGTTTCTTGCTCAAAATAACAACTCGTTTAGACCCCCGGTTCGGGTATAACATGAACAACCCCCCCCCCGCGTGTGTGTGTTGTAGAAACTGAGTAATAAATCAAGAGAAGAAATAATAGAAGACAAATCTCCCTGTGGAAGAATGACCCTACTTACCACTTTGCTACCATTTTTATAAGTGTGTAGTAATTGGGGAATAGGTTAATTTGTTGTCACCTGACAAGTGGCTAACAAATTTTGGCGCCGTTGCTGGGGAGATTTGATCTCTTCTATCTTTTCTAACTATCATACTTGGTCTTTATAAGTTGTTTTTGTGAACATCTGTGTCTTTTATACATTGATAAAAATTCACCAAAGTGCAAACTCTTCTTTTCTGCTGTGACTCATTGTTGAGTTGGCACTAACCCTTGTTTTAAGTGTTGTGTCAGTATCTGCCTTTTGACAGGTAAAGTTTGTCTTAGATCTCCCCCAAATACAACAACTTTGCCACCAAATAGGTTTGTGTTGCCCATTATATCTCTGAGGAGTGCTTTGACTGATTCAATTGACCGTTTGTGTGCCATTGTAATTTCATCCCAAATGATAAGTTGACATTCTTTTAGTAGTCGTGCCTCAACGGTTTGTTTCCCAATGTTGCATGTTGGTGTATCCTGGCCATCTATTGGGTTCTTGAAACGAGAGTGTGCTGTTCGCCCTCCAGGTAAGATTGATGCTGCAATTCCAGAGCTTGCAGTTGCTAGTGCTACCCATTTTCGAATTCTTACTGATGCGAGTAGACATTTGTAAAGGAAAGTTTTTCCTGTGCCGCCTGGTCCATCCACAAAGAAGAGTTCACCAACATTTGATTCGATTGCTTTCATTATTTGATCGTATGCAGTTCTTTGGCCTGAATTTAGTTTGTCAATGGCTTCAATATCAGCTTGTTAGGCTCTTTTATAGTCTTTAAATTCCCTTACATTTACTAATCTAGGGTCACCATTAATGAGAATTTGGTTTAATTTAAGATCAAGAAAGAACGTTGACCATCCTAGAGGTTAGAGTGCAATTCTTGTGTTATTCTAGACAACCCGAAGTGAAAATAACCAACCCGGCCCATTAGTTAGTATAAGACTTAGGGCGTTGGTGAGAGAGAGAGAC